GGATACCAACCGAACACATTATGACAAGGTGAAATAAGACTAGGCACAAACCCTCATACAAAACTCACCAAGGTAACTCAATAGAAGGAAGTGTCCCAAGAGTAGGCAAAAGAATCAGAGACACATATTGGTAGGAATCCCACAAATAAACCAATCTAAACAACCAAATCATTTTTGCAGAGTACCTGCCACAATGCTGTGTAGGCTGCATGATAGCTGCTTCACTTTCTCTGATCCCCTATGAGCCTTGTTAAGGTCATTTTGTGTGTCATGTTCTCCTGTTTTCTGGCATTAGGGAAATGTGCTGAGATATACAAGGATGACCCCAAATAAGATTCTAAGCTATAGTGAAGAGGCTATCCTATATGTCCTTCCCAAATATCGAGATTGATTACTACCTTATATGCAATCCTAAAGTCTTCAGCCAGCAGCTGATAGAAGCAAAAGCAGATACCCACAGCTAAGGACTGATATGAATGTCTGGAGTCCAGTTTTAGGGAGTGAGGTGTGATGAGCAATGTATTCATGACCAGGATGGGGAAACCCACAGAATCAGTTGACCTTAAAAAGGAGGAGCTCATTGATTTCAGACTGATAGTTCATAACCAGCATATGACAGAACTAGGCCTGCTGAACATGGGTCTCAGATAGAATTGTTGAGCAAGTAGTCTTTGGGGAATCTAGTCATGAAACTGTATTTATCACTAAGGTAGAAATGGACATTAGTAGGCAATTCCCCATAGAAGGAAACTCTCTCAGCATACATACACTGTGGAAGGCCTAGGTCCTGCCCCAAATGATTTGATGAACATTGATGATGCCACATAGAAGGCCTCCTCTATTCTGTTGAGGAGAAGAAGGATGGTGCTCGATGTGGGGTATGGTCGCATGAAATGGACATTGCACTAGGTCTGGTATATAAAGTAAGAATGTTTCTAAAATTTGGAATACATAAAAAGATCATATTCATCAAATTGTAGAACCCTTAAGTTCACCTAGACCCCAAGTCTGAAGGAATAATTTACTTTCTGCAATTTTTCTCGCCTTGGATGTTCACCTTATCTAACTATAAGTTGTATACAAAACCTTCCACATTACATCAAATATGATCACATCTATATCTCAAATGTTAAAAAACAATGAAGATAATGACTAAATATCGTATCGTGAAATTGAAAACACATATAAAGAAATTATCACTAAGGTAGAAATGGACATTAGTAGGCAATTCCCCATAGAAGGAGACTCTGTCAGCATAGACACACTGTGGAAGGCCTAGGCCCTGCCTGGCCTAGGCCCTGCCCCAAATGATTTGATGAACTTTGATGATCCCACATGGAAGTCCTCCCCTATTCTGTTGAGAAGAGGGATGGTGTTCGATGTGGGGTATGGTCGCATGAAATGGACATTGAACTAGATCTGGTATATAAAGTAAGAAGGTTTCTAATATTTGGAATACATAAAAAGATCATATTCATCAAATTGTAGAACCCTTAAGTTCACCTAGACCCCAAGTCTGAAGGAATAATTTACTTTCTGCAATTTTTCTCGCCTTGGATGTTCACCTTATCTAACTATAAGTTGTATACAAAATCTTCCGCATTACATCAAATATGCTCATATCTATATCTCAAATATTCCGCATTACATCAAATATGCTCACATCTATATCTCAAATGTTAAAAAACAATGAAGATAATGACTAAATATCGTATCCTGAAATTGTAAACACATATAAAGAAAATAAGCAGGTGACTCTGACCTCATCATTAAAACGACAATAGAGCTGTGAAATCAATGTGAGATAAATTACCTGTAAAGAGTGTGTTAGTTACATTTATAAGTTATTCAAATCTTGGATATGCATTTCATATGAAATTATTAAGAGTACATTGTAATAAAATATAAGCTGGGTACTAGATATTATCATCAGAAGAGTTAAATATGTGCACAGATAGGGGTACGTTTCAAACTCAGTGTCTATAACTTAGATACTTGTACATAGGCATATCAACAAATAAATTTTAAATAGTAGTAAGAATAAACTGTTAAATTTATAATTATATATAACTAAAAGTGTGCTCACACTGAAAGTGTTTTGGTTGAACAATGAAAAGTAAAGTTAAGCCTGGCGTTGGTGGCACACACCTTTAATCCCAGTACTAGGGAGGCAAAGGCAGGTGAATCTCTGTGAGTTCAAGACCAGTCTGGTCTACAAGAGCTAGTTCCAGGACAGCCTCCAAAGCCACAGCAAAAACCCTGTCTCAAAAAAAAAAAAAAAAAGAAAAGAAAAGTAAAGGAACAACAACAAAAAAAGAAAAGTAAAGATAAAATGACGGGGCAACTTTCCTAGATCAATGGTTATAAACCTTCATGTTGTTGTCATGCTTACTCATAAAGTTATTTTTGTGGCTACTTAATTACTGCAATTTCGGCACTGCTATGAATTGTAATGCAAAATTTTTTGGAGATAGAGGTTTACCAAATGTGTTAAAACCCACAGATTGCAAAGCACTCGTGTGACTTGTTACTTTTAATATGTTAAATTTAACACTTTTATCTAGATAATATTAGAAAGTATTTGGAGATGGTTGAGTGGATGATGGTAGTTGCTCTCAAGGCTTCCTACCTGAGTTTGAACCTGTAGTACCTATGTTGTGTCACCTGTATACCACACACACACACACACACACACACGCACACACACACACGCGCGCGCGCGCGCGCGCGTGCGTGCGCGCGGCTATAGCTTTATGAACATTATTTATATACCCTCTATAAACAATGTTATCAATAATAATAAAAGTGAACAGGCACATAATATTCACAATACAGGGTTCACTTGCAAAATATGCTGTCTTAGAAGAGGGTAATGGAACTATAATTAACATGCAAATATGTTACCTTAGCAGCTAGGAGAAATCTTCAAGACACATTCATTGAGTGATTTCAGGTCATATACAAGAAATCTGAGAGTGCCTGTGAAGTTGATTTTTCAGTGAGTGATGGACATACACATATCACAAAGTATTTTCTGTTTAAAAGTATAGAAGCATCCAATGACTAGCATAGGATGGGTTCCTCCATTAATACTTAACTGCAGTAGAAGCACAACGCCATGTCTTCAAAGTGCACCAATTAAAGGTCACAGGTAATACTATAGCGAATATTGTTAAAATCATTATTGTTTGACAAAACAAGAAACTTAGAAATGAGTACTTGGTTGCAATTCAGACTGGAATAGAAAATTTACTCAGAGAGACTATCAATTATCTTTATGGATGAAATAGCTAAAAGAAAATTAGAAATTCAAAACAACATAAGTGAAAACATGAATACAAAATGTTTTAAAGAAAAAATTGGAATTTTTTCAATATATAAAAATTCTTTAAGCAAGAGTAGAAACAATATATAGTGTGTTGTAACAAAAATTTGCCCTGACCAACAGGGCATCAACGGGAGCCTGAACCTCACAGGGCCTGGAATCAGATGGGATAAGAGACTAAACGAACGGACAGCAAGATAGGATTTCTGATCAAGCTGCAAAATTTTATTTTTCTCAGAGACTTTATATGGTGTTTGAGGCAGGAAGCTTGGCAGGTCTGGGATTCATCAGGGAGTGGTCGTTGCATGGTAACCAAACCATAGAATGTTCTTGTCACTGAGTCCTTGAAGGTAGGCAGGTAGTAGTAGATTCAATAACCTAACATTTTACCTTATGTTTCCTTTATTTGCATATATAGAACAGTTGTCTCTGAACCACCAAATAATCAAAGGTCTCCTACCCTCCAACATTTGGAATGTGGGAGTCATGTTCTCCAGATGCTATCTGCTGTCTGTGGATGAAGGCATCTTTAAGGGGTCCCATGGAAAATTTGAGATTATTTTCAAGTTGTGCAAAGACCATCAGTAACTTTACTGGATATTCATTGCCTGTCAACTTCAAGAGGTCTCAGTTGCTCTACCCATATCTATGTCACCCTGAAGCAAATCCATAGCCTCTTGTTTCCTGTGGAAACAATAGGAAAACTGCTTCTCCAAAGCATTTTTAATTTTCATTTGATGAATATGTTTGACTTTTTAAAAGATATTCATATACTATAGACTCCTTTACTTCAACAGTCCCTCTTCCAATTCCATTTATGTCTGGTCTTAATTAACTGTATACATTTTAGCCTTTTCCTGCCAATGCAAGCATTAGATGGCTCAGCTACAACTGGATCTTCTGTCTGGTCTCCAAGCTAGCTATGCCCACTTCTGCGTTCATGAGAACAAAATCTATAACTCACAGCCCACTCAGAGTTCAGTCCCCAAGAACTATATACAGCTTCCTTAGAGCTCTACCATTCCCATGATTGTGCTGTGGTAGTCACTTTAACTGAGGTTATCATTGTTACTTAGTCATTAAGGAGATATTTTTATTTTTAGCTTTCTATTTTGTTACATGGAAATATGGCCCCATGTTGGGTACCAAGTATTTGCTTAATGTTTTACTCCTTTATCTCTTTAGATTTTACCTTCATGGGAGGGTATCTCCCAGTCACAAATTGACATACAGATACATGTGATTAATTAGAAATGCCTGGCCTATACTTGGCCTATTTGTAGCCATTTTTTCTTAAGTTAAATATTACCATCTACCTTTTGCCTTTAGACTTTTACCTTTCTCCATTTATGTATATCTTACTTTCCGGCCCAATTCACTACTTGCTGTGTTGCTTGATATCTGTCCCTTACCTAGTCCTCTTATTGTATCTTGTTCCTTCCTCCTTGCTTCCAGATTTATCCTCCCATGTATATTTGTCCTGCAACCACAATGTATCATTTCTCCTGCCTCACTATTGGATAATCACCTCTTTGTCAGATCATCAAGAGTTGTTGACAGGCTAAGAATCTCAGCTTCAAAAACCCACAGAATAATCAAAAGCAACACATATTTACTTCACTAACCAAATGATCCATAGCATAAAGCTAACACATCTTAATATAATTTTCTAAGGATGTATGTGATATTTCAGAATTCCATGACCTATAATGATGTGCATATCGATTTCACTTGGGAAGAGTGGAATTTGCTGGACACTTCTCAGAAGAATCTCTATAAAGATGTAATGCTGGAAACCTACAAGAACCTCGCTGATATGGGTAAGACTGTACCTTCAAATTTTATAATCTTCTGTGGTTAATGGTATAAATAAACCAGGCATATTTCTAAAGTTCACTGAAGAGACTAACTTAAATTTTACACATTTTCCAATAATACATATACATTTTTGGTGTTATATTTTAGAATACAGTAAGGAAGACCATTCTACTGAAGAAGAACGTAGAACTTCTAAAAGACATCAAAGGTAATTTTCATCTATGAGCCGATAGAAATGTGCTTCTGAAGAGTTTGTAATCTGTCCTGGAAGTCTGAAACATAATCAACAGTGTAATTAAGCATGGTATAAATTGCATTGATGATTATTAAATTCTCCCAAAATGATATACCTCAGCTTCAGGTAGGTAAACTGCATTTGCAAGACATTATTTTAAGAATGAAGTCAAGGAAACAATGCCTTGAGAGAGATGACCACTCTAATCATCACAACATGAAAGCTATGCTATAGAAATATAATTCCATTTGTTTCATATCACCTATATTATTAAATGTATACATATGGTTGAGGTGAATAGCATATTTTCAAATTTTCCATTAAGCAAATACTCCTTGGAAAAACCAATGTTACTTAAGTGCTTGCTGTTACTTTTGTAAGTTTAGTGACAGCAGCAATTATAATTATTGTCAAGAGTCAAGGGGCATACATTGCAGGGAAAACGTAATATCTCTAGAACATGTCTATAAGGAATAGAGAGTGAAACTGAATTAAATGAGGAGGCCTCTTCTTTGTAATGTTCACTTTATTAGGTAGGTATATTAGTTAGTATACAAGCCATGTCAGCAAATGGATATGGAGAAGATGGTACATCTCTCTCACAGAACATTTAAAAGTCATGTAGTAGTCCCCATTTCAGCATACTTGTTGAATTTTATTCATGTGTAAAAGTAATTTGTTTTGCAGCTTCACTGATAATACACCAACAAGCTCACTCTTCACAAAATCCCTATGACTCTATGGCTGTGTAAATACTTCTGTGTGTTCTAGTTCATTACTAGTTCATTAGTAAATGTTTTATGACTCAAAATGTAGGAAATTGAAATATATAATAAGGGTGATACAGTTCTGAAATTTTGTTATTCTTGTCAGTATGTGAAAAATCTCAAGAAAAAGGACCTGAAAATTAGAACCTTATAATAAAGGGTTATACTTTCACAAGTATCTTCAAAGATGCAAAAAACACTTAAAGAAGTGGAAAACTTGAGTGTAAACACAGTGATAAGATTGTAAGATCTGATTCTTCTTTGCAATTTAAACAAATTGTAATACTAATTGATACAAGTTTCAAGATAAAAATAGCATTCAATATGGTAAAGCATTTACATATGCTTCTTTTCCTTGAAGGCATGAAAGAAGACAAAGTGGAGAGATGTCTTCTGAATATACACAGTGTGTTAATGCCTTCACATATAACAGTGATCTTCAAAGGCATAAAAGAGAGAAACCTTATGAATGTGACCAATGTTGTG